TTGAATATAATTACTCTCCCAACAGACATAATAATTCCAAGAAATGCCATAAAAGGCTAGTAAATGATCACATATTACATCTCAAAAAGACACATGATTCTCTTGAATATCACCCTTATAGAAGTCTTTACAACCATAATAAGAAAAAGACTTTGTTTGTTATCCATCTCTTATGGTGTTACCTCTATACACACATACTTTCAAGAAGTTTGAGTTATTATATAAGGATAAAAAATATGACATAAAAGATCATTTCATTCTAAAGAAAGAAATTGAGAGGCTGATAAACAAGGGTTATCTAAACCAGTTTGTTAAAGAACATACCCATATAAAATGTGACAGAGAAGAGCCTAACCTACTTAGTCAACCATCTTAAGTACCTATATGAGACTAATATGATTCTAGGGTGCACTTCAGCTAAGAGAGATATTTCTAATGGCAAGAGAAAATATAAAAAACATATCCTCATAATAACTCATTAACAAACCCATAACTTAACTCTATAAGATGATGCTGGTAGATGATAGGAGTTAAGTTAATATCCTATCTAGGGATGTGATGTCCTAGATAGGGATAGATCCCTCAATGATGACTTTTGTAAAAAACCTTTTTAATTAGAATTAAAGGGTCATGACTAATAAAGGGTGTTTTCGAGATCTTAATCATAATAGACATTTACCTTAAGTGTCTTAACAATCAACAAAATTTTATGGATAATCATGGTTTTGGCCTACAACACTATAATAAAAAGACCTCTCTTTCACATAATCAATATAGTCATAATCATACATTATTTAATCTTAAAATTACCTGCTTATAAAAGGGTGATTATCATGAGAAAAAACCAAAAGGCCTCAAGGCATTGTGCCTTTGTATATCTGAAAGGTAAGAGGACTTTGGTCTTAGACCACTAAAGATTAGGAGAGGGTGAAGGTTAGAATTGAAACCTCATAGCAATTGATAAAAGTATCTTTAAAGCAAAATAAAGGGGTCATCATTAAGACAAGTTTCACCTTGGAACCACCTCAATAAAAACTATTGACAGACTTTCTTCTTACCCGTTAGATTAATTTTCTTTCAACATTTCATATATACCATGAATAAGTTCAAAGATAGCTTCTTATAAATTTCAAGTTAATCTAAATTTTCTTCTTATCCTCTCTCTCTCTCTCTATATATATATATATATATATATATATATATATATAGAAACTTTGGGGGGGAGATAACAAATAATAATTGTAGAAATGGATAAATTGTTAACTACTAGATTTATTCACAAGTTCATGTGTCTAAATTGGCTGGGTACTATGATAATAGTAAAGAAAAACACTAAAAAATAAAGGATATATGTGGACTTCGCTAACCTAAACAATGTCTATTTAAAGGGTAGTTTTTTTTCTCCCAAAGATTGATAAATTTCTGGACTTTAAAGTTGGTTTTAAGTTCTTAAAATATGTTTATGTTAATTCAAGGTGCCATCAAATCCCTATACATCTAAAAGATAAAGAAGAACCTTTTGCTACAGGGCAATGCTCTTTGACTTGAAAAATACAAGGGCTATTTACCAGCAGATGATTAATAAATTATTCAAATACCAAATTAGAAGAAACTTAAAAGCTTATATGGATGACATGTTGGTGAAAAACATGACTTTTGAACAATATTTGAAAGATCTAGAATAGGTTTTTTATTTTATTTTAGAAAAATGTCATATGGAGCTTAATCTTTTCAAGTATGTGTTTGCCATTATAAAAGAAATATTTTTAGGTTTTCTAGTAAATAGCAAAGGAATAGAACTCATTCTAAGAAGATTTAAGCAATACTAGACATGACTCATCTTTACTCATCTTTAAAAGACAAAAATGTTTAACGCCTTACTAGGAGACTAGCCACCTTAATAGATTTATATCCAAACTAAGAAAATACAACCTATCATTTTTCAAGATCTTAAAGAATATCACCGATTTTAAATGGACATCAAAGTGCTAGAAAGCTTTTGAAGAGCTTAAAGCTTATCTTTTCTCTTATATGATCTTGTCGCAACCATGAGAAACTGAGAGCATGTTTCTTTATCTTAAAGTTTCTAACCAAATCGTTAATTTTGTATTGGTAAAAAAAAGGGAAGGCATGCAATGCCGAATCAATTATTCTTGTTGAACTCTTAATGATGCTGAAATAGGATACTTAAAAGTGAAAAAGATGGCCCTAACTTTAGTGAGAACCTCTAGAAAACTAAAATCATAATTCCAAGCTGATTAAGTTATAGTATTAACATAGTAGCCTTTATGATAAACTCTCCATAAACTATACATGTTTCGATAGTTAAAGATGTGATCGACTGAGTTATAGGAATATAGACTCTTATATCAGCCAAGATTAGCTATTAAAGAGCAAACCTTAATAGACCTCATAATAGAATACTCTCTTAAGAATGACATCTAAGATAAGCATTTTTAATGTCTGAATAATCAATCCCTTTAAGAGAAACTATAATCCCTCTTCACAGTCCATAGAATTGATCTTGCTTTGGGAATTATATGTAGATGGATCTTTTAATTTTGAAGGAACTGATGTTGTAGTGGTACTTATGACCTCCATGAATATGGAATTTGATTTGAATTTTAGCTACCAATAATGTATTAGAGTACGAAGTTATCCTAGAAAAATTAGACCTGATAGAATCCTTAGAGGTTTTCTCTCTCCATTTCCATAATGACTTCCAGCTGATAGTAAGACAATGCCAATGAATATTTAAAACCAGAGATCTTTAATGAAATACTCGCTGAAAGTTTAAGAACAACTCTTTAGAAAATATAAAGGCATAAAAATCTCAATTGACTTTATTCCAAGAGAAGAGAATAGAAGGGTAGATCTTTTATCTAAACTAGCGAGCTCCTATTCAGTTAAACTCCTTTTAGAGATATGTATTAAAATATTAAAAAAAAATATGTATTTGTGTTTGCTTAAAAACCCATGATTAAAAAGGCCACAAATAAGGTAATAGCCCAGTATACCTAGGCTTGATAAAATGCCAAACCCATATGACATGAGTCTAACTTGCTTTTTAGGTTCAAAACCTTTAAGTTTAATAAGTATTAAGCCTAAAGATATATGGGTCTCTAAGATGCCATGCCCAATACTCTTGGGTTTAGCTACCTATTAAGCTCAAGAACATATGGGTTTGAAGAGGTGCACACCCAACATCATTGGGTTCAGCGACATGCTGAGCCCAAGTACATATGAATTTGATAAGATGCTATACCCAATACCCTTGGGTTTAGCTATGTGCTAAAACTAAGTATAGTTGGTCTATGAGATGCTAAACCTAACACCCTTGGATTCAGCTACCTACTGAGTTTAAGTATATGTGGGTCTAAAGAGATACCAAACTTAACATTCTTGAGTTCAACTGTACGTTCAGCCCATGTATATATGAGTTTGGCAAGCTGTCAAATCCATCATCCTTAATTTAGGTATCATTCCAAGTTCAAATACATATGAGGTTGATAATCTTTTTGGGTTATATTATTCTTACATCTTTTAACATAAAATGTTAAAAGTTAAGAATGATTAACTATTTACATTTTTAGGTGTATAAAAGTCTTCAAAGGGTTTATTATATTTCCATCAATATTAATATTGTGTGAGAAATATTTGTTCCTCATTAATATTATTTAGAGGAAATGATGTTTCAACCAATCCATTGAAAGAATATGATAAAGTTCAGAGGCTATATATATCATCTGAACCACCCAGGTAAATGTTTCATATTTTTTTTATTTTCTAAGTATTCATATTCATTTGTAATATAAAACTAATAACAAACACTCTTGTTTTTATAATTTAAAACTGATTCTCTCATTTATTGCAATCCTTTATCAAAAGTCACCGAGTTTATTAATATAGGGTCTCTAAATCCTACAAAAAATGATTGTTTTATAGATATCAAGTCTTTTATCACTAATCATCAATTTCATGAATTATGGAGAAAGAAATATCGACGTGAATGTGTGATCATTCTTTATCTAAACACAAAAAAAAACCCTTATTATTGAACATATTAGATTTTAAATCATAATCAAATTATAACTTATAAGGAAATAAAGATGACTTTCATGGTTCCTATATATATATATATATATATATATATTCAAATGCCTAGGTATAATAAAAGGATTTTTTTAAGATACAAGATAAAAAGGTAATCTACAATACAAAAAAAAAAAAGACTACGGTTTTAGGTTTCTTAAAGGCAATCAAGTCAATATTTTTGGATTTTTTATAATTTTTTATCCTTTTTTGTTTTAAAAATTCAAGTTTTTATTTTTTCATCCTCTGTTTAGTTTCTGGGTTTTATTCAACTTGCTCAAGCTCCACTCATCCGGCTGACCATCATCAAATCTTTGCAAACAACTTTTTGGATGGAGGATTCTAATTGTAAGCAAAAATGATAGCAGAGGGACGTAACAGATTTAATTAACTGTAGGGGGACTCGATTGATGAAATCTACATAGTATACGGAGGGTACTTATAGTTTACTTTGGCCCTGTATACTTGGCATTTACAAGTTCACTTTCCACTGGGAAAAACAGGACTCCGCAGAGTAGCTCAATTATTAACAAATTTGTCTACGTTGTGAAGACAAATTTGAAGGATCTAGTGACCGTTTGAATTTCGAATTCAAAACTTTAAACCTTAGTCGACAGAGAGCCTGTGACTTTCCATCCAAAACCATCTACTCAAATCGGCCAAGCCCCATTAAAATAAAAAATCTCCATCCCCGTGGCGGAATCTCGTTTGTCAGTGACACTTAAAACAAGACCCAAAAACACGATAACACATACAGTGGTCCCTACAAAACTACGCTCCCAACGAATACCGAGCCCGAATCAACGGTCAGGATCTCTCTGCAATTCAAATCAAGCCCTTCCCCGCCCCAATAGTAAGAAACAAATATTAAACAGTAAAAGTAAAACCTCTCCTTCTGCGCGAATAAGAGAAGCAGAGCCCTTTTGCTTTCTTTCAAAAAATCCAAGATTGTTTTGTTTCCATTTAAAACTCTCTCCATTACCATAAATCCTCTCTCTGTTTCTTCTTTACTAAAATTGAAGAGAAAGAGAGAGAGGGGGGTTGAAAATGTCGACGCAGACACGCCGTTCGTCGTTTTCCTCTTCAACGTCGTCGTCTCTTGCAAAAAGACACGCGTCTTCTTCATCGACAGAGCATGTAGGCAAGGCCACGGCGGTTGCGCCTCATTTGGCCAAGAAACGAGCCCCTCTTGGTGACATTACGAATCAAAAGAATGTGACTCAAAAAGGATCAAGAACCTTAATTCCATCATCTACTTTGGTGGGTTGTTCCTCTTTTTTTTTTTTAATTCTTGTTTTCGTTTCTTTTCTCTTTCTAAATTATGAGAAAGATTTAATTGGTTTTCTGTATCATTTTCTTCTGGGTATTTCTTGTTGCATGCGGACTTTCTTGGGTCTTTTGTTATTTATTCTTGTTAGCCCAGCAAGGTTTTGATTATTTTTAGGGTTTGTTTATTGCAATTTATTAAAAAAAGAAGAAGATAGTAAATGCAAAAAGAATGCATAATTATTTGTTAACAAGAAAAAGAGAGAATAATCTGCTTGCTTTTGGGTGCATTAAAGATATCCAATTAAGTCACTGTTTGGATAGTTGGTAACATAAGATTCTGATGATCAGAATCTTGACAAAAACTGCTTCTGTGTTATGATCCGTATAGAGTGCAGTTTTATCGTCAGTGTTGAAATTAATGCTTTTTGGCATACTTAGAAACTGCATTATAATCTGATTTTGATAATGTTATCCTCAAGGTTGCATGATCAAAGCATTACTAACTATGAAAGTTTTGATCCCTTGATGACTCTGATTTTCCTGATAAAGCAGCATTTCGTTGAGTCACCATGGACACTGGATTTATGATTAACTTCTCAAGTTCAAATTAACTCCCTCTATTGTGATGTTCAGTTTAAGTTTGTGAGTTTGTTCTAGTATTCAGAGAATTAGTTGATCCTAACTGAATTTCATAAATGCAGGCACCATTCTCAAATAAATTTGCCAAGGTGAAGAAGGGAACTCCTGCTTCTAATAGCAGTACTTTACCTGCATCCTTAAATGCGAAATCAAGCGCTGTTGGTGTTTGTAAGGTGATCTCTGTCTCAACAAGAGGCGAAAGTGTCCCTCCTGTTGCTGCAGTTTCTGTTCCATGCAGCATTGATGTTTCTCCAAGTAAATCTGATGATCTTTCAATTTCTTTGGATGAATCAATGTCCACCTGTGATTCTTTTAAGAGCCCCGAGGTTGAATATATAGATAACAATGAAATAATAGCAATTGATTCTATCAATAAGAAGACCTTGAGCAATCTGTACATCTCAGATCATTTGGAAACTGCAGGTTTTTAACTTTTTTCACTCTCATTTATGTTGTCTATATCATATCTTAATAAGTGTTGTTTTATTTTCTAGACTTCCTAATCTAGTTTGTATATGCGCGCAGAAAATGCATGCATCAGAGATACTCGTACTGATATGGAAACAGATGATAAAATTGTTAATGTTGATGACAATTACCAGGATCCGCAACTTTGTGCAACCATTGCCTGTGATATTTACAAGCATTTGCGTGCATCTGAGGTAGAGTATTCAAGCTTAAGTGCCAATTATGAGTCTCCTTTGTAGTACACAGTTGTACCTGCTTGTGGCATTGCTAAATGAGTTACTTTCTTCCTTGTATAATCTGTCATCCTCTTCAAGTTTTGTTTTGATCTTGGTATGTGCAATGCATTTCCAGAGTGCTACCTGTACGTGCCTGGACTTATCGTTATTCTTTTCTTTATTGAATTTCATGGGATTTTAGATGAAGAAAAGACCCTCCACAGACTTCATGGAAAGAATTCAGAAAGACATAAATGCCAGCATGCGTGCAATACTGGTTGATTGGCTTGTGGAGGTAAAATCATTGAATTGCATTACATATTTGTAAACTTGCAACGTGATATGAAGAATGATCAATTTTTGTAACCATTCTTTAGATTGATAGATGGGTTATGGGAATACAAATACTTCTTCTGATGGACTATGAGTAATCAAATGCTGAACTTGTGATTCAAAATGTAGGTAGCTGAAGAGTACAGGCTTGTACCAGATACCCTGTATTTGACCGTGAACTACATCGATCGATATCTGTCTGGAAATGTGATGAACAGGCAACGACTGCAGCTGCTTGGTATTGCCTGCATGATGGTTGCTGCGTAAGAAAGAGTTTTCTGCGATGTCTTTGTTTGTTCTATCAATGGCACCTCTTTTTTCTTATAAAATTTTTACTATCTCATGAATTAACAAGGAAGATGATGATATTGCCAGGAAATACGAGGAAATATGTGCGCCCCAGGTGGAAGAGTTTTGCTACATTACCGATAACACATATTTCAGGGATGAGGTATTGTTCTTGTTGTCCATATGCCCAAGTGCATTTGACAGATAATTCTGCCACTATACTTTTTTTCCCTAACCTGCACAAGCATTAAGTATTTTAAATGGCTGCAGGTTCTGGAAATGGAATCAACTGTTTTGAACTACTTGAAGTTTGAAATGACAGCCCCAACAGCTAAATGTTTTTTGAGGTAATGACCAACTTATGGTTATCAACTCCTATCTATTATTCCTGTATGCTATACTGTTTTCATGACTTGTCATCCATGCATGTAGGCGATTTGTTCGTGCTGCTCAAGGAATCAATGAGGTATCTATTTTTGTTCTGCTGGCCATGGAATTGTTGATTTTTATAACATCTATCACCTCCATCCCTAAAATCTTTGGTTTATTTTGGTTGTTCTGTACGTGGCATCATTTGCTAGGTTCCATCAATGCAGTTGGAATGCTTGGCCAACTACATTGCAGAATTATCTCTTTTGGAATATACTATGCTTTGCTATGCTCCGTCGCTGGTAGCTGCCTCTGCCATTTTCCTGGCCAAATATATACTTCTTCCTTCAAAGAGACCGTGGGTACGTGTTAAAAAATAATGAAACTTCTAGTTTATGGGGTTTTTGAACTCGTAATCATACCTGATACTTCATTTCTTCTGGAACAGAATTCCACATTGCAACATTACACACTTTACGAGCCTGTTGAATTGTGTCACTGTGTAAAGGATCTCTATCGCCTGTGTTGTGGAAGCCATAATTCTACTTTACCCGCAATCAGGGAGAAATACAGTCAGCATAAGGTGAGCAAGATTCTCATTTTGTCCCAGTTTCTCTCTCTCTCTCTCTGCATAGCATGAACAGAGGAATGCTCTGAAGTGCGTCCTAATCTTATCTTTGTTTATTACTTCTGTCGCAGTACAAATTTGTAGCAAAGAAGTACTGCCCACCTTCCATACCCGAGGAATTCTTCCAGAACCTAAGCTGCTAGACTGCTGTCTTACTCTTCCAATGCTGTGTTGGATTAACTTCAATTGAATCAACTGCTTTTAGAGGCTCTTCCCATTCCATGCAATTCAATCCATAGGCAACACTTTATCATTATTAACTGTAAAACGTAGAGGTCAGTAGTTTTTTAGCTTGTCTAGAGTTTTTGCTGAGTCTACTCTTTCGGCAAGGATCAACTTTCATATAATCCTGTATGATATGATATCTTTAGTTCTTGTTAATGAATTCATAGCCATATTTTAGCACAACTATTTACCGTTAGAAAATTTGTTTAAAACCATTAGGCTCTATTTAAGATTAACATTAAATTAAAAGTGGGGTTTAGTCATCTTTAGGATCGGCAATTATTTATAACAAAATTTGTAAGTGAATTAAATTATTTATAATAAAATTTCTAAACATTAATATAATTAAAATAAATTGTAAGTAAATGAAAAATTGATATCGAAGAAAAAAACTTTTTATTCTATATATATAAAAAACTTTTTATTCTATATAAAAAAAATGATATTTTCTTTTTATTTTATATACGATAGGAAGTTGAAGAGTTAAAAATAAGTCTCACGTTACATGTTTGCTTTCTCAGCTAAACCTTAATTTATTTTTTTGGTCAATTTATAATTGACATGGATTTGAATTTGTTATGAAATAATTTTTTGGCTCATAAAATTTATGTTTTATTACCTTGTCTAGTATATAATAAAATTTGTAAGTGAATTAAATTATTTATAATAAAATTTCTAAATATTAATATAATTAAAATAAATTGTAAGTGAATAAAAAATTGATATTGAAGAATTATTACATGGTATGGTTTTGTGAAATCAAAAACTTTTTATTCTATATAAAAAAAGAATGAGATTTTCTTTTTATTTTATATATAATAGGAAGTTGAAGAATTAAAAATAAGTTTTAGGTTACATGTTTGCTTTCTTAGCTAGATCTTAATCTGTTTTTTTTTTTTAGTTGGTTTATGGTTTAGAGTTTATACTCAATATTTTTTAAAGTTTTCTTGAGATTTTATCCATGCTATAAGATTTACATTTTTCATATTCATTTTTAAGTTTTGGGACTAAGCCAAGATTACTTGAATTTTTCATATACTTAGAATTTATATGACATGATTTACCATACTAAATATTCACAGAAGCAAGAATTTTTTTTCTTTCAATATTGAGCTTAAACATATATATATTGATTAAACTTAATAACTCGTTTAAAATGATCTTGTTAAAAAAATATTCAGAAATTAAATTCTTGTGAATTTAAGGAGCATGTAACATATAATTGAGAGTGACTTCTTTTCCAAATGTAAATCTAATAAGAACATCTCCAACCTCTACTATATTAGAAAAGTGTGAATCATTAAATATGATCTTATCTTTTCTCATTCAAGTAGTATTAAGTTTTGAAAAAGGTTTTGTTATAAAAGACAAGTCTAGTAGCTCTAAAATCAATTCACCATTCCTCTAAGCCTTTAAGAATATTAATATCGGGAATCATAGATATAAATAGCTTTACAATAACATTAACTTGCGCAAAATGCCCATGTTTTTAGAAATGACAAGTCCTAGCATTATGCCTAAGTTTACCATAAACAAAACAAGAATAATTATTTTCATAAGGTTTTTTCTTGCAATATTTTTCTTTGACCTAAAATTTCTATGAGTTTTTTGACATGTGAGGTTTTTTTTATAAGGTTTTGCTTGGTTAGCATGAGCTTTTACGGGATGTGATTAAACTTACCTTGGTACCAATTGATTCATTAAGTTAAATGATTTTTTCCTAATTCCTTACCTTTTCTTCTACTCTTAAATTAGGTAATAAAAGCTTCAATTGAGAGGTTTTTATTTATTTATACTTCAAATCTTTCCAAGATTCAATAAACTTGTAAATGATGGCTATTTGTTCATCTATTTGGATGTCTTCCTTACATATCTCATGGGCAATCATTTAGAGTTCATAGGCTTGTTTTCATTTACTTTAAACCTAAAATACCAGTTACAAGCATACTTTTTACAGCTAGCTTTTTTAGTATCATATTTTTATAGAGCATTTTTTAAATTGTTTTGATATAAATAAAACCTAGATCATAATAATTTTAAAGCTCACCAGAAAGACAATTTAGTAAATAATTGCAACAATGATTGTTACCCTTCTCTCATTTCTTAACTTTTCTCTTATATTGAGCTAATCTTTTTTACTCATATTTTCATTCTTCTTTTTTCTAGAATTGCTTTTCTAATTAAGACATAGCTAACATTCAATAAACTAAGATAAAACAAAGTTTTTTTTCTTCATCTTTTGAAGTTTTCTCCTTAAAAGCAGAATGATTTACTAAGGTCAACTACTCTAGCGGAGCTTTGCTCATTGATAATATTAGTATCCTCTATAGTCGATATCATATCAAATTGTTACATATAGAAGGGTATTACTTGATAAAACGAGTGGAAAACATTAAAAAATAACTTTACCAAAATTATATGGGTAATTAACTTAAGGTATATACAAATTACTTTTTTAAGATGATACATGTTGTCCTCATAAATTCTAATTTAATGGATCAAGAAAGTGTTGCATGTTATATGAGGAATACAATAAGTTTAGCCACCTTGTCTAGTCTTACTACTTTGCATTACTTATAATAATTAAAACTCTAGAAAGAATAATACCACTCTTGCCCCAATAAAACAACAAAATAAAATTTTTGATATGTCTTTTGTTTATTAGGAGAAAAAAAATAGCTCATAAAATAATAGATATTTAAAATGTTGTTTTACATTTATATATAGTCAGAAGAGTATAAGTATTTAAATTTTAAATCATTAAAGATTTAATGACCATTATTAAAAGAAAATAGTTGTTATGCATATAATGTTTTATAATTTGCAATTAAAGGCACATAATGTTTTGTAACATGTAAATAAAAGCATATAATGCATGCCTTTAAGGCCTAAGTTGCTTCTGTCAAATCCCTCATTATCTCAAATTGCAGAGTTATTAACCCATGTTTCAGTTTCTGTCTAAGTCCATCTCTGAATTTCTTTATCACATTTTGCGATGATACCGTGAGTATAACTAATTCTCAAATTCAACTCTCTAATCTCCCCACATCCATAACCCTATGGCTTTCCTTGATTGCATTGTCTCTTACCATGATTAGGCTTTATTGGTCAACACTTTAGTGACACAATTTACCCTCAGTTCATTTGGTGCTTTTATCTGTATCAGGGTCTTCTTTATCTCCCTGATCCATCTACTTGCAACTTTCGCATCCTGATCTCTAATAAAAGGTCCACAACTCATCTCTCTCTTGCTCTTCATAATTCATACCAAGACAACTACACTATCTATAGGTGTTGTAACCACTAAAGTTGGTGGCACTATTAGGGTTATAAGGTCTAGGACACTACTCATGCTCTTTATCACTTCAATCACTATCTTTGCTATAAAAATAGGATCATCATACGGGGCATAAGTCCCATCAGTATCAATGGTGTAGGTGTAGCTGTCTGTTTCTGTCCTCTGTTTGCAATGCCCTAGCATATTTCGAAATAGTATCGTCATGAAGTCTAGTTGGCTCATCTCGTCTCTTCTAAGTAGAAGCTAGTGACATATGGATGCAATGTCAACTAGGGGATCATCTCCCTAATTCCTACCTGAGTCCACATCTCGATCATCTATTCTTGTCGAGCTATTCTCTATTTGTGATGCCTTAACACGTCTCAAAATAGTGTCATCATGAACTCTAGTTGGGTCATCTCGTCCCTTTTAAGTATAAGCTGGTGGTATATTAGATGCAATGTCAGCTAGGGGATCCTCCCCCCGACTCCCACCTAAGTCCATATCTCGATCCCTCATTCTCACTGGAGAGAGATCTGTATTTGTGTCATGTCTCATATGAACTATCTTGCAACTATTTAGCATATATCAATTTCCATCAAGCTTCCTGAACCTAAGCTAGGATTATGATACCAACTATAATATCCTAATATTTTTATGCACTTTAAGCTTCATTTCTTGTAAATAATTAACATTATCGAGGTGATTTTTTTTATAGCTTTACAAGAATCTACCAAAATTTCAGCAAAATTTTCTATATATCAAGAGATCCTAAATTATCAACATACTTGTAACACTTCAATGTACCCATCAAACAAACCCAATTATTGTTCAACAATCTTGGACTCATCATTTCACAATACATCTCATCGTAATTATTATCATTTATTTTAATGTCACATCATGTATGTAGTTATAATATTCTAGATTCAAATCAAAATCTATAATCATAAATTATTTGATACTATTAGTGTAAATTACAAAAAAAAAAAAAGAAGAAGCATAAGTACAACATCATACACTAGCATAATTAAGTTAAATTTATAATTACATAATTTAAGGTAGATTGACATTCAATTATAAAAAAATAATTATTATGATACTCGAGGCTTAAAGGTGCCTATAAATTAATATACAAGCAACAATTAAGTATGTAACAATAATTTATCTAAACAATTAAAATAAATACAATGACATGTTTGAACACAATTCATTATAAGATTTATTCGATTAGATTCACATGATCTACTTTTAACTTACATGATTTATTTTCTATGTTAATATTTCTTATTTATCATTATTTCAAATACATACTCTCTTTCTTAAACTATAATATTCATATTAAACTCTTTTTAACCTATATCCAATACTAGATAATTCTGGGTTCGCCTAGGTGCTTATGTTATTTTCACTTACAAACAATCTAAATTCTCTATCTATTACTGGGTAAAACTCCTACATCTTGAATTCAAATTTTCATTTCTTAGTACTAAACATTAATTCTAATACAGGGAAAGATTAATTCTTCATGTTCACTGCCAGACCTTATTTCCATCAATAGAACTAATTTATTTTGCTCCTTATTGGATATTAATCCTTTTATCAGGACTAATTTCTTTTGTCATTTACTGGGTATTAATCTCATCACCAAAATTAATTCCATTTTCGTTTCTTGGGCATTAATCCCATCACCAGGACTAATTTCCACTACCCTTTATCAGGCATTAATCCCATTATCGAAATTAATTCCACTGCCCCTTATCGGACATTAATCTTGTACTACTTCTTATTGGGCATTAATCCCACCATAAGAAAATTTATTTCTTCTACTATATGTTTTACAAATTAAAAATAAAATAAAATAATATATCCAAAATATTATAACGATAATCTTACAAAAGAAAATGTT